TCTCCGTGTAGCCCAGGCTGTTCTGGAACTCCCTCTGTGGACCAGCCCAGGCTTGAACTCAGAGAGACCTGCCTGTTGCGATTCCAGGCAGGCGCCACCCCTGCTCAGCTCCTATTGTTGGATCAGAACAAAAGCTGTCTCAGTGGAAATCCTAAAGCCCAGAGAGCCTGGAATGATAACGGCTGTCAGTGAAGCGCTTGCAGCATGGACATGAAGACCTGTGTGGAGAGCCAGCTCTTAGGTAAGCGGCTGGGCGTGCCCATGGTGGTGCCTGCAGTCTCAGCATGGGGGAGGGCAGTGGTGCCGGGTATGCAGACCCAGGAGGACCTCTGAGGCTTTGGGGCTAGCTCCCGTTACCAATTGGTGAGCTCAGCTTCAGTGGGACATCTCTCAAAAACGCTGACAGGCTGGAGAGATGGCTCGGAGGTGAAGAACGCTTGTTGCTCTTCCAGGAGACCTGGGTTTGATTCCCAGCACCCACATGGTGGCTCACAACCATCTTTAACTCCAGTCTCTGGGGATCCAAAGCTCTCTTCTGACCTTCACGGGCACCAGGAATGCACATGGCACACACAAATCCATGCAGACAAAACACTCAAATAACACGACAATAAAACACATGAAAAGTAATATAGAGATAGATAGATACTGAATTTTATTTGACTTCTGGCCTCTATAGGCACATGATACATGAACATAGACATGCACACAAATTGTAAATTGAATTCAGCAGCACATTAAAAAGATTCTATGCTACGATTCATCCTAAGGATGTAAAGTTGATTTTACATACACCAATAGATGATATATATCATCGAAATACAACCAAGGACAAAATCACATTATCACCTCAATAGATTCAGGATGCACCTTTGAGAAAGGTCAACATCCCTTCCTAATAAAACTAAGAAGAGCTGGGGATGATGATGCTCACCTTTAATCCCAGCACTGGGAGGAAGAGGCAGGTGAATCTCTGAGTTCAAGGCCAGCCTGGTCTACAGAATGAGTTCCAGAACAGCCTGGGCTACATAGAGAAACCATGTCTTGGAAAACCAAAACCAAAACCAAAACAAAGCAAACAAAACAAACAGACCAACAAACAAAAAAACCCCAACAAAACAAAACAAAAAAGCTGCAAAGATACTAAGAATAGAAAACAAAATTCGTCAATATAAGGGCTCTCTATAACAAACCTATAGCCAATGCTATACTAAATGGGGAAAAAGAAAAAGTTCAGAAATATGATAATGGTGTCTACTCTCTTTCCTCTTATTCAATACAATACCCGACTTCTTAGTCAGAGCAAGACAGCAGGAGAAACCAAAACTAGCAAAGAAAAGAGTCAAATGATTCTTGTTTGGTGTAATCCTACCCCTAAATGACATCAGAAACATCAGACAGCTCTTAGACTTAATAAAACTCAGCAAAGTAGGGTAACAAAGTAGCTTCTCTCTACACCATTCATGAACTCAATGAAATTCCATTACCACAGATCCCAAAATAGTAAAAATAAAAATAACTAAGAAGGTGAAGGATCTCTGCAATGGCAATTATAAAACACCAAATACACGAAAGAACGATTATGCGATTGGAAAACCTCCCTTATTCAAGAGTCAGCACAATAGTTAAAATGGCCACCTGCAAGTTCAAGGCCATCCTCAGCAAAATTCCAATGATATTCTTCCCCAAACTAGGGGAAAACCCCTAAAACTCATATGGAAGCACAGAATACCCCAAATAGCTAAAGCCATCTTGAATAAGGAGCAATGCTGGAGGTATCATGATACCTGGTTTCAAGTTATATATAGAACCATAGTAATCAAAACAGCATGGCATTGAACAGACACAGAGACCAATGGACTGGAGCAACTGACACAATAAACACACAGAGACCTATCCATTTAATTCTCCACAAAGGTAACAAAAACACATGCTTGATAAAGGAAAATATCTTTTTAAAAATGGAGCTGTTAAAACTTGATGCCTGCATGCAGACAATAGAAACTAGGTATTTTGCACCATTATGGTTTGAATATGAGCTGCTCCTGACAGTGCTGAACTGTTGCAGGATATTTGATCCCAGTGTGAACCCCGAGACTGTGAATGGTAAAAACCTGTTTCTTGTTTTGTGTGGTTCAGCCCTAACACACACCTTTAATCCAGGAACTTTCTGTTATTGTAATAGGTGATTACGGTCTGACTCAGGCCTAGCACACACCTTTAATCCAAGAGCTTTTTGTACATAGGACTTTGTAAAATTAATTCTAGGTCAAGAGGTAGAGCAAGAAATCAGCTGACAGGGATTAAGCAGTAAGGAGGGACTTTGAGTTGAAGGGTATTTAAGACAGTGTGGAGAAGAAGAGGATTCTTTTTGGCTTTTGGCTTTTTAGCTGTTGGCTTTTTCCTCCTGGGCTGTTGCGTGAGATAGCAGGCCTTTTTTCCTCCTGGGTCATCAGCTGAGCTAGTAAGCTTTTAGCTTTGGGCTTCTGGCTTTTTCCTTTGGCTGAGTAGGAAAATCAGCTGGGTGCTTTCTCTGCCTCTCTGAGCTAGCAGGTTTTCACCTCAGCATCTGGCTCCTGAGTCTTCACTGGTAAAATCAATCGGTTGGGATTTTCATTTTTTAAACAACACTGAACTTGTGGTGCCCTAGCTGGTAATACAATCTTGGGAGGCAATGGATGCTTTAGAAGACAGACTAACTAGATGAACAGATGAGCAGAGGAGTGCTTTTGAGGTTGTGACTGGTCTCTCCCCCACTCTCTTTGCTTACTGTCTACCATGAAGAGGAACAGTATCTTTTACCATGTGCCCTGCCAGGTATTTGTCTAGTGGCAAAAAGCCCAACACATCCTTGGATAAAAATTAACTCAACAGCTGGAGAAAACCACTTACTCTCTTGACCCAGCCATATCCACTGGAAATGGTGAAAGTCATAAAGTTAGCACTGTTGTTTGACATAGTTTCTGCAAAGCTGAGCCAAATGCTGTGATCACTGTCATTCTGTCTCTCACTTTTAGGCTTTGGGTCTCTGCATGTTGCATTCTTAGGGACTTTCTGCATTATGATTAATTTTATGTCTTTTCCCAAGAAAATTATGTCTGAGTCTTTTTAGGAAAGTCCGAGGCTTTATCTGGCTTTATTTGGAAGTCTTCTTTATGCCCCGGAGATCATGATAAGCACAGATAATGAGGCTACAACTCCAGGCATCTTCTTGAGGTATCCATTCCTAAGCAAACTCAAACAGTATAATTTGGTCAGGGTAAACAGAGACAATTGACAAACTCTGTCTGGCTGGGAAAAAAGATTCAAGGCCTCCTTCTACAATATTCTTAGATCTCTCTGAAAATTTTTGTTAAAGATAGGTCATACAGGGTACATCCCTGGAGGAATAGAACTCAGTTAATAATATAGATTGACTAAAGTAACATTTTCCCATTATATAGCATAGATGATGAAATGATACTGTAAAAGGAGTTAGGTATTAGTATTTGCTATTCATAAAAGACCAGTTCAGATATTTTTGGTTTATCTGGAGTGTTTTAAAACTACATACACTGTCAGCCTAAAAGCAGGCTGTCACATAATAAATGTGCTTGCTTTGGTGGAGACATTCTCTAGATTCTTTGGAGTTATAGGGTTAATAATAAAAATAGAATCTGTTCTATTTGTACTTTCTAATTGTGACTGAGCTTGTAACCCGGACATGTAATGAAAAATCATACACATAATCTACACTTCTTGGATAATCATTAGTCCATCTTTGCATTGTGAAACTTGTATAAATAAAGAAGCAATTGATTGCTGCTTAGTCAGAGCTGCCAGGTTTCCCTGACCACCACACCTGACTCACTCCTCCCTTGCAGACCCCTTATCAGCGTGGAAAAAAATGCCAGCCACCAGCTTTGGAAAGAACCTGACTCCCCAGAGGGCACAGGCTGAGGCTGTGCTATTTAAACTCCTCTTGGGCACAAAAGAGGTCCACAGTTGAGCATCGCCTACGCAGACATAGCCTAGCTCAAGACAAGGGAGACCATCTTTCCCAGAACCTGTTTAGTGGGTTTGGGACAGCAGGGGAGGCCTGTAGCTGGTCTTTGCCACTTTGTGGGTTCTTCTTTTTCCCACCCTTTATACCCCAGTTTCACCCCTTAACACTAGATGAAAAAGAAACAGGGATAGAGGGGAGAGAGGAAATGGAAAAATCCCTGAATCTAATTTCTTTTCTTCTTTGACCAAAGCTACTAGCAAACCGCAACCAACCTCCCTGAATGCCAACCACTGACCCTGTCCTTCGGAGGCCTTCGCTTTTATATACCCTCTGAAAAGTTCCCAGACTGGAAGACCCTGTTTCTGGCATCTTGCAGACAGTGGTCCCTGGTGTATCTGACAAGAAGCTAAGATCATCTGTGAGACTAATCTGAGTTTATTAATAAACTACCAAGTTGACCTCTCCCAGCGGCCCCAAATCGCTCAGGCAGACTGCGCCTAAAGCGCACACCCGGCGGCCCAGGACCAACTTCCTCCCGCCTAACCACAGATCCGGACTCTAGTGTTTCTCAACCTGAGGTGCACGTCCCAGCATTCCTTCCTCACAACGCACGTCAATCCAAAACTCGCAGGGTGGGGGCGGGGGCGGGGTGGGAGTGGGGACCGGGGTGGCAGGGTGGTGGTGGTGGTGGTGTAGCTGTTGCTACCAGCGAGTAAAAAAAGCAAATTTCACACCAGGTCCCAGAAGAGCAGAAAGAAGACCTTGCATCCAGAACAACCTCAGAGCCAGCCGCATCCCAAGCCGTCCGGAAGAAGTCCGGAGAGGCTCTCGGCATCGGGGACATCCGACCGCTGACCCTCCCACTGGTCCTCCTCCCGGCTCCAGCGCTCCCGGTCGCCACGCAACAATGAAGCGTGGGCGGTCCAAGCGGCTTCATTTGCATGTCGCCGAGGCTCGGCCAATGGGCTGCGCCGGGGCCTCGAAACCCGGTGTTGCTGTCTGCGCGCGCGCGTGTGCCAGTGTGACAGCGCCGTGGCCGTGGCCGTGGCCGTGGGGCGCGCGGGGGCCGCCCGGGGTGCCCGCTCCACTCAGCGTCGCGGCCGCGTGGCCCGGCGGAGCCCCGAGACCACCCCCGGGCGGGGCGCCGCCGCGATGTCGGTGGCGGGGCTCAAGAAGCAGTTCCACAAAGCCAGCCAGGTAGGGAGGCGCGCGGGAGGGGGACCTGGAGGCGGTGTCCTCACGGAGTCGCGGGCCGTGGACCCCAGGTCTCGGTCGGCCTCCCTCGGGCCGGGTTTCTGGTCGCCCAGGAGGGCGCGGGGGCGGGTAACGGTCGCGCGCTCGGTGCCGCGCGCGCGGTGGTGCCCCCTCCTTTGAGTCTCGGGTCTCCCGCTGCGCCGTGGCGGTTGTAAATCTGAGCGGTTGGCAGCGAAGGGGTCGGAGGTGGTGGGCTTGGAGATGAGCGCCTGGAGGAGATCCTCCGGGACCATTGACCTGGTAGGCCTCCCTGCGGCCCCGGAATTGCCAGCCTGTCGGTTGGGAAGCCCCCCTCCCCCAGGGCTCTGTAGTTGCCCCCTGGCTGGGGCCAGGCGGCCTCTGCTTTGGCTCCCCCTCCCCCCCGGGTTGGGGCTCATCGCTGTGGTCCTCTTCCCTTGCTGGCTGTCTTCCCTCGGTTGGTTCGAGATTGGCGCCCAGTCTCCTGCTCTCAAAGAGACGGTAATGTAAGGAGGAGACCCAGAACACACACGTAAACAAACCGTGCTAGACACACCCCCCGCACGAGAGGATGACAGGTGACTTTGTGGGGCCTAATGGGAAGCTTCCAGGAAGAAAAGACATCTGGGGACTAATCCTGAGAAAGGATTGTGGCTATGGACTGGGAGGAGAAGGAGGGAATTCTGAGCAGAGGAAGCTGGAAACAGGAACACAGGAAAGTGTGTGTGTGTGTGTGTGTGTGTGTGTGTGTGTGTCACAAGAAAATGTACTTTTTAATACTACATTGTTCCGGCAGTTGTAGAGCTCACGTTGTAAAACCTGTCCACCAGCACCCGTGGAATTGTTGCGCCCCCCCCCCGCCTCAATTTTACTCCAACCCTGGTGGACAGATTGCATTTAGAGTCGGCCCCAGTGGCCCTGGCCCACCCCTCCTTCTCTCGCCTGTCCATCTTGAGATTGCAGCGGGCGGTAGAAAATCCTTCTTCTCCATCCCAGGCGGCAAGACACTGCTAACCCCTCAGTCACAGCTGGTCCACAAGGGAACTGAGTGATGGCTGTTCCCAGCAGGGGACTTAGGGCGCACAGTGGTGCTATTCAGGGTGCTAGAAACCCACGAGGAGGGGCCCACTGGGTGAGGGCAGAGACGGCGGCTTCACTGTTGGAGCTCTAGTACTTACAGAAGTCTGCGGGATACTCGGTTGTCATTGGCCTTTGGAGTCGTGGGCCTAGCCTGCTCTGGGGTCTGGGACTAGGAAGTACTGACTTGGGGGAAATTCCAGTTGAAATGGACGTTTTAAAACGGGAGAACTGAGGCAGGTGGGAGCGCGCTCGGTAGCGTATGAATAGAAACTCTAGGCGGCGCCATACCGGAAGAGTGTTTAGGTCAGGGCTTGCTGGGCAGTGAGTGTAGTGTAGATAATACATGAGGCGTAAGTGAGGTTCAGGAGGAATAATGAGACCGAGAGCGGGGGTGGGGTGGGGAGTGGAGTTGTACAGAGGGTCGGTAAATGTTTAAAGGCCGGGCAGTCAGCGTCCACTTCTGCGTTAACGGCGGGGTACCTGGGCCCCTGTGGGCAAGGCCATGCCTGAGTCCCTGCTGGCCAGACTTGTACCATTGTCTTCCTTAGCCCGGGCAGGAAATGAGCCCCTTTGTTTTTTACCCCCTCCCCCCTTTCTTGGATATGGACTTTATAGGAGCGAATCTCATGATCACCCACACTGAGTGCTTACGCGCTTCCCGATGGCTTCTGACCACAGAGCAGAAGAGGGTGGTTGAAATCCTTGGAAGCAAACTGTGACGGAAGGCTTGGTTTGACTCCTTATAACCAATCAGTTAAAAAGGACAGGAGACCTTCAAGGGATCTGAGTGCATCCAGTCCTTGCGGCAAGTATGTTCCTAACTCTTCCCTTCCTTTCTCTGAAATCATTTGAAAAGAGAGACGGCAGAGATTCTCCCCGGACTTACTAACGTTTTGTGGTTAGAGTACCTGGTAAGTTTCAAACCAGGTACTTTAACGTTTCTAGATGTTCTGTCCTCACCTTCCCCCTCCTCTCCCAGGTCTTATGTAGCCTGGTCTAGCCTCAGACTGGCTACACAGCCAAGTGTGGTCACAAGCTTCCCAGGCCCCTGCTTCTACCTCTCCAGGGCCCAGGTACAGGCTGCAGGTGGGCAGGCTAGGCAAGCACTCTCCTGACTGAGCCACATCCCCAGCCCCGTTCTAGAAGTCTTTCTTAGAAATTATGCAGTGCAACAGGCTTGGAAAAATTAGGTTGTGTTTAATTGAATGCAAGGGAGCGGAGTAATAAAAAAAAAAAATGCCAGATGTTCTCAAACAACGTTTTCACAACAGGCTTTAATTCACTCCGAGCTTTCCCAGGGGCAGGGAAAGGGAGTCCCAGATGATGTCAGTGGCTAATAATTCCCAAGGACTCAAGGCTAGTTCCTTGCTCTGATAAACTCTGCAACCTTGGAGACGTGACTAAACTGGGCCTCCTTGACTTTCTCTCTGCATGAGGAACGAGAGGATTCAGAGGTGGAGTCCCTGTGAGAGACTCAACGGTGCAGTGCCTGCAAAACTCTGATTATACTAAAAACCATTGGCTTGTGTACTTTTAATTTTTACAAATTTGTTTTGTGTGTGTGTGTGTGTGCGTGTGTGTGTGTGTGTGCACGTGCGCGCACGCGCGTGGGTACTATGTAATGTGAGTGTGCCTGAGGAGTCCAGAAGAGGGCATTGGATCTCCTGAAGCTCAGAGAGTTACAGGTTGTTGCCAGCCACCAATTGTGAGTGCTGAGAACTGAACTCAGGATATCTGGAGGAGCAGTAAGTGCTTTTAATTAATGAACCATCTCTCCAGCCCCAGGATCATACACCGTGAATGAGCTGCATAGTATGTGAGTTGTAAGTATACACGCACACACCACACACACACACACACACACACACACACACACACACACACACATAAGAAAGAGAGAGAGAGAGAGAGAGAGAGAAACTGTTCATCCATTCATCCAGATTGTGGTATATGTGTGTGTATGTCAGTTCTGAAATTCTTAAATAATGTACTTAAAATGTTTTAGACAAAGATAATAGGGACCTTTTACAAGTAACATAGTCTGGACCATGGCCGGGCAAAATGAGCCAATGTCCTGGCTAACTGCGTCTTCTTTCCTAACCCTTCCCCTCCCTTGAGGAACAGAGCCTTGTGCTTCCCAGATGAACTGTGAGCCCTGGAGACAATGCCTCGGTGTGCTGAGTTTCTTGGGTTTATCACTACACACTTTTAAAACTCCTTGCCAGAGTTTTCAATAGAGCCAGTGGTTCTGCAGGGACGGCGGTGGAGCTGCTAGAAGCAAATGCAAATAACATAGAGCTGCCGTGGTGGCTTCTCGCTGAGCACAGCGCACGAGCAATAAGGGCATACTCTGAGAGTGCATCCGTGCGCTCATTCACAGAATCAAATTGTGCTCTAGTTCATAGCAGTTCCTCCTGATAGTGGTCACAGTTGATGAGAGAGGCCCTGACCTTACCCTTGATGGGTGTTCAGGCCTGGATGCTGTACTAACAGACACATGCTTTTCGTTCCAGGACCTTCTAGCCTCCTGTGACTTGTGTCATATTCCCACGAAAGCCCAGCGTTCAGTATTATTCTTCTGTCTTCCTCTCCTGAGTCTAGTCACACAGTATTCATAGCTTCGTCGGCTCCATGTTGAATTTACTTCTTTGTGTTTTTATGTGGCTCACAACCTGTCACATGACCTGTAGGGGATGGGAAAGTCCTTAATGTAGCCTTTTGGTAAGTGTTTCTTCCTCTTTTAATGCAGCAAGTTGAAAAGGCTGAGTGGCCATAAGGGGCCCTGACTATGCCCCTGCAGACACTGACTGTGCAGGCTAGCCATTGATGGGCAAATGCCTCAGGCCCTGGGAAGTGATGAGATTCTCCAGGGAGACAGTGAACGCCTGTTGTTTCACTTTCTCATTAGAGAAAAAAGATGGAAAAAAAAAAAAAAAAAAAAAACGCTTTGCAAAATCCATAGATTTATTTTTTCTCTTAAATGCATTAGAAAGTTTATCAAAGATGAAACATTCTTGTCTTTTCACACATACTGTTTGGTAAATTGATCCATGCACATGTGCACTTTGGTTTATAAGTCAGGGTCCCAGAGTAGATGTCCAAAACAAATTGATTTGGATTTTTTTAAACAACTGAACGATCCAACATAACCCAAACATTTCTTACTTTTTGTTCTATAAAGTAAAGATACAGCCTAGGTGTCCTTTGGGATTTGATTTTAAAGCACGCTGGAAACCAGAGTTTCTCCCTGGTGAGATTAGCTTTTTTTTCTTTTTTAATAAATCTTCTTTTTATAATTTATTTAATTTTCATTTTATGTGTATTAGTGTAAAGGTGTCAGATCCCTTGGAATTGGCCTTACAGACAGTTGTGAGCTGCCATGTGGGTGCCGGGAATTGAACCCGGGTCCTTTGGAAGAGCAGACAGTGCTCTTAACCATTGAGTCCTCTCTCCAGCCCCAGCTTTTTAGCTTTATTCAGTACATTGAATGCGAATTGTATGGTGCCACACTAAGTATGTGGAGGGGGGTGTGCCGTGTGTATTGGGGGGCATGAGGACTGATAGGTTTTCCCTGGAAAATAAAGTCACTAGTAAACAGATGGATCCCGCACTTCATTCAGCCAAGTAACAGGTGAACATAGTGTGGGTGTCAGACTCAGCAGCGAGTGGGCAGCTAGGGTCCGCGTTCCTGGCACCTGGGGAGAGCCATGTGTGACCGGGAAGGGCTTCATCATGGAGCTGCTGCCAGGCTTTGGCTGCTCGTTCTTCTTGGAAGCGGCCTACCTCTGGACTCTTCCTTTCCTTCCCAAGGCCATCACAGGCACAGTGCTGTACCCCAGCCCTCTAATCTACTCCTGGTGGTGTCCTTCCCCCAGCTCCAGCTTCTCTCTCTTTTCTCAGACAGT